TACTTTATTTACCATCCATCATCAACAAAGACTACCTCCTACTGATCTGGAGTTAGTTATGTTTGTGTGGTGTTTAGATCTGAGGGATTTTCTTATATTTTAGGCTTTGGGAGTTGGGTTGATAATGGGACCATTGGTTTAGAATTAGATAATCAGACAATTCTGGTGGGAAAACCATGTGATTGTGTCCTAAATATGATGGGAATTTGTCACGTTCTTGTCTGGGGCTGTCAGGGTTGATGCCAGATAGTATTTTTTTACCATCCATCATCGACAAAGACTGCCCCCTACTGGTGATTAGGAGTTAGTTATGCATTCGTGGTGTATTAAAGTAAAGTAGTACAGACCAAATCTCTACTACTTTTTGTTTAGACCTGGGGGATTGTTTTATATTTTAGGCTTGGGGAGTTGGGTTTAGAATCAATTCTTGTGGAAAGTCGTCCGATTGTGTCCTAAATATGAAGGGAGTTGGTCATGTTCTTGGTTCTATGTTTGGTGGAAGGGGAGAGGGGATTGGGAGGGTGGGAGTTGTAATTTCTGCGTTTACGTCAGCTGCCACATGTAAATCTCATCGTCCTCCTCTTCATCAGGCATGCCAAACCACAGTTTATCTCCAGACTTGGTTAAATTACCCGTCTTTCTGAACAAAACGATCCCAGGTGGCTGAGGTTCTTGAATACTCTCTTCGGCATCAGGGTTTTCCGTTTGGATCTGAACCTCCAGAGACTTTTCCTTCTCTTCTTCTGGGGTCCAGCTTGTTCCAAACTCCAAAGGACCATCATACGACTCCTCAGACAATGTCAATGGTCTAATATTGGAAGAGAAAATCACTGGTTCTTTAGCAGATTTCTTTCTCAGCCCATTTCGCCTTCTCTTCTTCTGACTTTGGATCTCGGCTTGCTCCACAATCCCCTTCTCTTCCTCAGCTGGAGCCTGAATTTCTGCTTCTACATTCAACGTTTCTTGAGTATCATCAGAATCTTCCATATTGGCTGTACGTTCAACTACACATTTCGGAAGGCGCCTTGGTCTCCTCTGCTCTTTTGGAGGCTGAGAGGGATAGACCACAATCTCTGGCTTTGGCTCGTACCATTTCACCTCCGCAGCAACAGATTTGGAATCAGTTTGAGCCTGATTTGTTTGTTCAGACCCTTTTACTTTCTCGACACTAGGTCTGTCTTGCTGCTTTCTGTTTTCACCATCGTGTCCTGGGGTTTGCCGGGACCTGCTTTGCTCCACAGATCTCTCCACTCGGGGGTTGCTCACTTCAGCTTCTGGTCTTAAATGTTTCTGAGATTTTCTTTGGGATCTCCTTTGAGTAAATTCCACATTCTCAGCAGTGCAACGAGGCCCAGATCTCTGTGATTTGGAGAGTCTTGAGTTGGAAGCACGTCCCTGATGAGGTGTCGGGGCCTCTTCCACTTTTTCTTGCTTTTGTTTGTTGCGTTTTCGTTTCACAACTTCCCATCCCTCTTTGTTGGCGTCCACGCTGTGATCCTCTGTGATTGGGCGCAGTGAGGTTGGGGCTGGGGCGACTGGAGGTTGGGTTTCTTGAGGTTGTGTCTTTGAGCCTGCGTCAAAGCTTGACTCCGACTTATTTTGATGAACCTCCATCTTGTCAGAACTTTGGACATTTGCCTCGATCGGCTTAAAAATGTTCTGTGTTCTGACGTAAAAGTCAGATGTTTTTTGATTCCTCCTTTTTCTAGAGTTTTTGGCCATTTCTTACTATTCTTTACTACTCTTCACTAGTGTGTATGAGAATATGTATAGATAGTGTCTCTCTCTGTCTCTGTCTTTCTGTCTCCAAACACGACTCTTGGATAACCGGGTTGATTGTTTATCCGTCATTCTGAGTTCCCCACACAAGCTTTGACTGGGGACTTCCGGAATATGGAGATGACATAGTATGACATTCCGGTCGTCATGACAACTGCTGTCATGACAACAGTTTACATGTGTGGGAAACTTCACTGAAAGTTTAGTTTTCTCAAAGGAAATTATATGGAGACCTCTGGGAACAACAGGTGGCAACTCTTGTTGTGTCCTTAAGCAAGACACTTTATCTCGCCTAGAATGAGTCTGGTGTGTGTGTGAATGGTTGGTGGTGGTGGGAGGGGCCGATGGCACATGCTGGTTGCCTCTCTTCTGTCAGTGTGCCCCAGGGCAGCTGTGGCTACAGTAGTAGTTTATCACCACTGTGTATGGGGTGAAAGAATAATGACATGTGAAGCAGGTTTGAGTCTAAAAAGAAGTGCTGTATAAAACCAATGCATTATTATTATCATCAGTATTCTTGATGTATTCTCTAAATCTTTTAAGGAGCTACTTGGGGGAAGTGAGCTGCTGGTAGCTCCTGAGCTACAGGTTATATTCAAGTTTATGTATTGAATTAGCTCAAGTGAAGTCATTAATGTCAGGTCTTGTCCACCAGGGGGCACATGTCACAATACTGCCAGCTTTAAGGTTATTATTTCACTATTGTTTTCAACGTGCGACAGACAAAGAAAGAACAAGAGCTCTTTGACGATTCATTTTATTAGATAATGTTTCAAAATAGATTCGAGCACAATCACTTTGACATGAAGCAGCAGGGATGTGTTGTGAACAGTACTGTGCAAAAGTCAGAGCAGCAAAAGAAAAGAAATACATTATACAGATATCTGCAGAAACATGGATCCAATCTTTGACATAACAGAAAGACGTACGCTCAGTTCAAAGTGTGCTTTCTTACGAGGAGATGACTGAGAACATGACATGGTCCGTTTCAAAGCCCTCTCCAGAACCAGGTGGCAAAAAACAGGCAACATGGTTTTAAATCTGCAATAGTTTGACATAAAACTTATATTCCCACAAAGAATGTTAGATAAAAAAAATTTATATTCATATTAAAAAAGAGTGAATAAGATGTTGGACATGTCTAACATTAGAACTCCCAGAGCAGTCAATTTGACAGCTTTTAGTTTTGGAAATGTATACGCATCTGGTCTCTGTCTGGTCTCTCTCCAGTCTCTCTACGGTCTCTCTTTTCTCTCTCTGGTTTTTCTTTGGTCTCTTTTCGGTCTCTCTAGTCTGTCTCTCTCTCTGGTCTCTCTCGTGTCTCTCTCTGGTCTCTCTCTTGTCTCTCTCTGGTCTCTCTCTTGTCTCTCTCTGGTCTCTCTCTTGTCTCTCTATGGTTTCTCTCTGGACCATATGTATTGAATGATCTTTTTTATCTTTTTTTTTTTTTTTAGATGTGAGTAGTTCATCCTTTAACTCTCAGAGCAGTCCTTTTGACGGCTCCAATGATTTTAACGTAAAATTCCTTTTCTCAAGGTGCTGGTCCTGGACTGGTTCAGGACTATCTGAATCAAGCGCTAGTTACCATAGCAACATACTGTAGCAGTTAGCAGCTAGCAGTTAGCATTTTGCCATTCAACTAACTTTTTGCTCTATTTAAAGTTAAAATGACCAGTTCTAGCAGATTTTAAAGATAAAAAAACACAACTTTCTTCATCTTAATACTAGTGGGAATCTAAAACTGTCTTCTGGGGTTTTTTCAGAATTTTGTTGATTTGAATAGCTGCCGTCAAAAACACTGCTCTGGGAGTTTTGGTAGCTGCAGGAAATCTGGAAATCCATGTCATACGTTGGAACATTTTAGGCCTTGTCTGATGAAGTTATTGAGATTTTCCACAGTACTGTCAGGCTGTAAAACGACCCCTGTGTCACTGACTGGAAGCAAAGCAAAGTTCACACCATTTACCAACCGACAAAGCAAAAGGAAGCAGCAAATCTGTCCATTATCGTCCAACGTCTGGAACAATGACGTCTGTAAAGGAGGGGACAAGATGGAGCCCCAACCACCGTCAGATAAATGTCTTTTGATTCATTCTTTAATTCGGCGTTTGCGATTGTCCATTTTCGGCTTAATTCTGTACAATTAACACTTGACACACAACAATGGCAAATTGGCAATATATATTTACTTTAAATGGTATAGAAAATAAATACAAATCTATATATCCACACACAACGGCCTGGATTTACAATCTTTCTTCATGTTTTCATACAGTGTTGTAGATGTGCGTGTGTGTGTTTGTATGTCTGTCTGTGTGTGGCTATGCATGTGTCTGTCTATCTTCGTGTGTGTGTGTGTGTTTGTGTCTGTCTTTCTTAGTGTGTGTGTGTCTATCTGTGTGTGTGTGTGTGTCTATCTGTGCGTGTGTGTGTGTGTGTGTGTAAAGTTGTGTCTGTAACTCTGTAACACAATCATAATCATCTGGGCAACAACATTACATGGCTTTATACAAAAGAATTTGGTCAATACAAACGTGATCATGGATTTCTAACTCCTCATTTTTTATATCATTGTCAGTGTGTGTTCAAACAGGTTTGTCCAGTTTACAGCTCATCCAATCGTATCACACACATGTCATTGACAGCAATATACAGAAACATGTTTTCAAGGATCCTTGGACGGATCTCTTCTCCTTCAACCCTAATTATCAACACAATTTTCAGCCAAACTGAATAAAATATGTACAGGATTTTGCGTGGCCTTTTATGATTTTATTGTATGTCTGTACTTGCATCACAATTTCATGAAAAATTAGTAACATTTTAGTGGTGTAAGTGTTCATCCAATCCGATTGTTTTGAGCCTTGCTAGACCCAACTTGGCAACTAAATCAAATACAGTACTTTCTGGACTACTTTTTCATGTTTTTTTTAACCCTCCAGCCCGTTATGGCGCCCCCTGGGGTACAGGAAGGGAACGCAAAGAGAACTAACACAAGGAAGTGCACAAATACACAGGACTTGTTTTTATGTGATTAGGGATATTGTTAGAGCAGAGTTTCTAAACTTTCTTTTGACAAGTTTTGGGAAATGGGGCACAAGAAATGGGGCACACGTTTATTGTCTAAGTAATGTGGATTTAATAGTCCAGCAAGTACTGTATCCGTTAAATATGACAGACCAAATTCTACTTACTAGAGTCATGTTTTGCTGTTTAACCCATCACAATGGCACTTTCTCAATTTCCTCTCCTCCTTTCTCATCTTTGACCTGAATCCCACCTTTCACTTCCTGCAGCAGCATCACGTGATCTCCCTTTGAACCATCTGACTCCAGGCTCTGTCCTGCCAGAGCGAGCAGGATCAGCGCTAGCAGCAGAAGCGTTACCGCCGTGGACGTCAACTCTGGTCTTAGCTGCAGACTTGTCTCCGGTTCTTTGACTTCCTTGGTCCTAAACGTGACACATTGAGGTTTCTTGGGATTCCGTACCCTTTTGCTGCTGTGCTTCCCATCTTCAACAACAGCGAGGTGAAGACAAACCCTATAAAACGTCTCCGGTTGCAAATGTGTCAGATTAAAACTTGGTGTAAATAGCTTGCCACGAGAGGCGGGTGGAAGGTAAGTTGCGAATATTTTGCCAGGAAAGGATAGCATAGCGTTCACCAACTTCCCTTATCTCCAATTTGGCAACCTCGACTCGGAAAAACTTAAAATTAGCCTTTTTACGGCGGCTTTCTCGAGCATGTACGGCAACGGTTACGCTTCTTGTATCTGCACCTAGTACATTTTCAGCAATGCATGTGTACAGCCCAGCTTCATGCGACGTCACCTTGTTTATTTCCAAACTACCTTCAGCAAGTAGCTTGTAGTGCTTGTTGCGATTACACAACGACCTATTCTGGCGTTCAAGATCCTTAAGCAACGTAAAGTTATGATTAGATCTGGTCATATTGTGGCACCAATTTGGTTTATTTGTTCCCAATTTAATGCCCAAAGGAGTTACCCAATAGATTTCTGGTTGAGGATCACCTAGCGCCCGACAATTCAAGACCAATTTTCCGCTTTCTCTAACGCTAACGTATGAAGGAAGTAGGTTTGACGGGATCATCGGCAGACAAGAGGCAGACATCTCTAGTGTTGAAACCTCTCTAACTTTTCGATATTTCAATTCTGGAGGTTCAGAGCAACGTGTAGCTTGTGGTTGGATGAACCGCACTATCCGAAGCGATTGCAAATCCATTGGAGATGAGACTTTCTCGACGTACAGATGTGGAGATTCTTCAGCAGCCCATCGGAAAAGGCAGTCGCAACGTAAAGGATTGGAGTGCAGGCTAACTTCCTGCAAGTTGGGCAAAGATAGCATAACGTTGTGGTGAAGAGCGCTAAGAGAATTTGAGCTCAGCATCAAACTTTCGAGTCTGGCGAGCTTGAGGAAGGCGTGGGGATGTATGTAGGATAAACGAGGGTTATTTGTGATTTCAAGTTTGGTCAATTCGGGCAGATTTTCCAACGCACCTTTCTCAATCGAAACCAAGTCGTCCATATTATTCAAACCTAACTCCTTAAGATGCGCCATATCACGGAAGTCCCCAGTTTGGATTAATTTGATCCGATTTTTGTTGAGATCGAGGAATTTGAGACCAGGGACTCTTTGTAAAGCTTGGGTGGGGACCTTTGTGAGCTGATTATCAAAGAAGGATAGACTTTCTAGTTGATCCAAACCATCAAGTGCTTTCTCTGCCAGATTTTGCAGCCCCATACCTCCAAGAACAAGACTCCGCAAAGATTTTAATGCAATAAACGCTTGCTCTGGTAATGCTACTACCGGATTTCCACCCAGCATGAGCACCTCCAACTTTGGCAACGTTTTGAACCATCTTGGATCTATCGTAGCCAATCTGTTGTTGTTGATATGCAAGCGTAGCAGGTTGTCCAAGCCAGCGAATGCTCCTTGCGAAATTGTATGCAGATTGTTATGACTTAAAAACAATTCTTGCAAAAGTGGCAGGAATGAGAAAGACCTATCTGGTAGGTGGCTTAGATGGTTTTCTTCCATGTGCAATGCAAGTAAATATCGCAGTGGAGGACCTGAGCTTATGGTCCGGATGTGGCTGAAGCGATTTTGTGACAGGTCGAGATCCGTCAGATTGGGTAGTTTTTGCAAAGTTGAAGTGTCCAAGTCTGAGAGAAGATTACTTTGCAGTCTTAACGTATGTGTGATTTTGGGAATGGGTGACGGAAGCCTGGTGAGCAAAAGATCATTGCAATCAACAGTTGGAGCTTCGTGATACAAGGAGTCAAAGGAAAACCATTGCTTGATTTGGCAGATGCAGCGGCTTGGGCAAGAGACGTGCCACGGTAGAGAATGTGGCAGATTCCCCACCACAAATGGCACGTAAATGAGCAAAAAAAAACATACAGTGCAACGCAAAAGCAAGGATTTAGACCTCATATTCCTGCCAATAAATGAGTTTTAAGTTTGAAAGAATTGGTGAATTAGTTTGAATCTCGTTTAGGTGTCATCTCCTTGGCAACACATTGTCTGTAGGTGCTTTCAGATTCCTTTTGAGTGAACCAAGTGATGAGTTTTGATTTGTCTTGCTGAAAAACGTCCAAAGGTTGACGAAAATAGTCGAAGAATACAATTGCAGCTCACATCCTGATTGTAGATGCTGCTCTTGTGGTGTGGCTTAAGAGTAACCTGCAAACACAAGAAAGACAAGATAAATGTTAGTTAGAAAAGTGTGTGTGGAGAGGAAAGTCTCCGCGACCTGGCAACGGATAAAGCGGAAGAAAATGAGTGGATGGTTTGACAGTGAAATGATTTTTGTCATAGATCCTTGGTTAAATGGACTCTTCGCCTTTTCTAAATATTAATAGACTTATCATAAATACTTGATAAGATGGTATTGGGAACAAGATTTTGTGTGGCCTACTGATGAAGTACTCATGTTTAGATCTCGTATACGCCATATTGGTTTAGTGGTGTATGCAGCATTCAACCAACCAATGCTTTGAACCACAATCCTGCGTTTGTCATCGCTGTGTGTGCAGAATGAACCAACTCGTGCTCTGAGAAGCACAGGGACTGGCCTCCTGCTGGGACTCTGAGGAGCACAGGGACTGGCCTCCTGCTGGGACTCTGAAGAGCACAGGGACTGGCCTCCTGCTGGTGGCCAGAGTCAGGACTGAACATGGGGAGGCAGCATTTCAGATTTTTGCAGCTAAAATCTGGAACAGTTTACCTCAAAATGTGAGACAGGCTTCTTCTCTGACAGTGTTTAAATCAATGGTTAAATACAGTTCTGTTTAGCTGTGCTGCATAAAAAGGGATTTGATCTTTACTCTTGTTAATCTATCGTGATTAATACCTTGTATTGTTTTTATCTTGTTTTATTGCTTTGTGTATAAACTGTGCTCTACAAAATAAACTTGCCTTGCCTTAGGGTGAATTTAATAATACACCAACATGAAAAGAGCAAAGGGAGACCCTGGTCTACAGATGACTATCTGTACGTAGCATTTGTGGTCGGATAAATAAGAGTTGAGTTTATAATTGACTGTTTTTTATTGCCGTTTGAGGACCTCCTAAGCCGCCTCCCTCTCCCCGCCTGGTCCCCTCCTGTCTAAAATATGCTAATTCTTGTCCTTCACAATAATCCACTTCATATGTATCGATCTCAGCCTTCACTTGATGTGCAGTTTAAGTGACTTCAGAGCTGGGGAAAGAGTTTGGCCTGTTTGAGTGTTGGACAGAGCAGCCTGACGTAAGAAACGGTTTCAGTAATTATCTTGACTCCTGAAATAGTGCAGGTTGGCTGCTTTTTTAGAGGCCTAACGATTAGCAAAAGTGGAAGTGGCAGTCCATGACCCAGCAGCTCCAAGCCTGGACATACAGCATTTGGAAAAACGAAACACTTAGAAACTCCAAGATGGACTAAGAACATCCAATTATAAGTCAGCCACAGAGCAATCTGAAGAAGGCTCCTCTGTTATGGTCAGCTAGTCCATTTGGAAAAAACTCCCCTCATGATAGAGAGACAGACGATAAACCGAATAGACAATAAGACAGATAGACGATCAGACAGATACAGATAGCTACAGATAGATACAGAAAGACAGATAGAAACAGAGAGACAGACAGATACAGATAGAAACAGAGAGACAGACAGATAGATACAGACAGACAGATAGAAACAGAGAGACAGACAGATACAGATAGACACAGATAGATACAGATAGACAGATGGTTAGTCACTTTTGGGAATCCATTTATGGGTAAATTAGCATGTTTTATTTTTTCAGTAATGAAACCGGAACTAATCTAGTGTATGGAAGTGTCATGAGGTGAAAAACAAAAGAAGGAAATAAAATGCAGGACTGCAAATAAAAGCGCCATTTAATTGAATAAAACCGAATCCAGGATAAAAACAGATTTAAAAAAATCCAAACTAAAAGCGGGAACAAGACGGGGAGAAAAACAATAATGGACAGACAACAAGAGGACAGGAGCACAGGGTCTAAACCAAGCCCCGGTGATCCAAGATGGCGCCCTATTCAAATGAATGACTTGTGCTCAGTAGTTCATGGGTCTTCACGGAGACCGGGAGATTAGCAGAACTCGCCTGTATTTGGGCCTCGTCTGGTCCTCCCGGTTCTGTGCAGTGGATTATCTCCCATGATGCGTTGCGCCAAATACGCGTGTGTGGCCGTCATGCACGTGCACAGAGGGGCTCGGCCGCCCTCTGACCAATCAGAGCTGATCATCAGAGCAGCGGAAGAGCGGAGCCAGAGCGGGAAGGCAAGGAGCAGAGTTTGTGGCAGTAAAGTGTGGATTTAAAGAAAACCGAAGGATTTAAGAAGAAAAAAAGTTCAGGATGACAAGGGAAACTAAAAACCCCACAAAATCCAATCTTTATGAAAGCTGTAGGGTCTCTGTCAGGTTCTCTGTCAGCTGAGGTCGAGCTGGTTTAGTTTACATTGAGTTCTATGGGACTTTTTTCTGGGTACCCCACGTGAATGTAGTCTGCAGTAGAGTTTCGTTCGGGCCTGAAAAATCAAGCCCGACCCGGCCCGAGCCCGCTAATACTAAGCCCGAGCCCGTATAAGCCCGACCAATTAAGGTTGTATAATAGGCCCGAGCCCAACAGAAGCCCGACACATCTGATTTCCCTTGTTGTACGCACTCACCTTCCAATTGCAAGTTTAGCCACTTCTGAATGTGTTTTGTACGTCCACCTGATCCATTTCTGTTAATGTTCCGTGTGTTCGCTGTTGACCGTAGCATTCAACAGGAACAACAGGGATGATACGTTCACGGCTTGCTGCGGCTGTAGGACACGCCGGTTACGGTGATAAATATATCAACTTTTTTAATAACTTGTTGTCAATCAACGGACATTATTATTAATAAATACATATATGCATATCATTATGTATGAAAATCATAAATAATAAAAAATATTGATTAAAAAAAATAAAAAAAGGAAAAATAAAAAGGAGCCCGAGCCCGGAACGGCCCGACTGCTGAGCGCTGAAGTGAGGCCCAAGCCCGGCCCGTACTCGGGTCGGGCTCGGGCCTGCTCGGGCTCGGGCTGAAAAGCGAAACTCTAGTCTGCAGTACCTCAGCGCCCCCTGTGCCCGTGGGTGGGACAGCTATAAGCTAGTAATACCCTATCCAGTTATTATTATAGATCCATGGTCTAAACACACACAGGGTCTAATTACATACAGGGTCTAAATACACAGGAGCACAGGGTCTAAATACACAAACCCTAACCCTAAATACATACATTACACAGGAAGTATAACTAAAAACGACAAGCAAACGAATAATAAATACACAGAGAATGGACAGGAAGTTCAACTGAAAACAACAAGTGAAGGAATAGTTATCAAAATATATCAACAAGAAGCTCGCATCCCCCAGTTCTCAAATCCATGTCTTTCTGCTGTTACATCAATGACAGGAGACTTTTGTGGTAGTTTCTCTCAAGTACATTCTTCTTGGCGAAAAATGTCCAGTTTTGTGTCCAAACTATCGCCAAAACCACGACATCTCTGGCTGGGTGTCTACACTTTCACACACAACTATAGGCAGCGAGACAGACACGATCAGTACATCTTTAATACGAGTGAATGTAAATAAAGGGCAGCTGTGGCTCTTTCCAAAATACAGACTGCCCCCAATGCAAGATCTACAGTAATCCTTCACCAACGCATCTTCAAACAGTCCAATCTGTTCCATATTCTAATTCTCTGCAGAACTCAAACGGCCGTGATGTCCCACTGCCTTAGTCCAGTCTCCTTCCTCTCGCTCTCTGCTCAGATCCGAGTTGCCATAGTAACCCCTCTGTGCTATTC